CGGTCGTTGATTTTCCATTGACTTGCGGACCCCTCGGGGCCAGTTTATTTGAGTGTACCTTTTTAGGGTAAGTTAACCTGTGACCACGGGAATCGACCGCGTCGAGTGTTGGATCAGTACGGACATACGAAGGTACTGGGTAGAGAGAGATCGGAACGGTTTTTAATGTGAAGACAACAACAACAACAACAACAACTCTGTTTTTTTTTTAATGTCGATCGCTTATCAGCCTGGAGATGGTTCTCGACGGGGATGAACTCCTGGACTTGCCCATCATAGGAGACCGCCTGCGAAAGTCGAGTGCAGCTGCTCCCTCTGCGAGAGGTATGTCTGAATGTCTGAGTGTCTGAATGTCTTCGTGTCGTGATAACAGTGGGATGAAGAAGTTCAAGGGTCGGCCTTGTACCCATTCGTTCGTCGATGTTCCGGTGCTCACGCTAATTCGAAAAGGTGTGCTACTTTGTTCACAAATTATCTTGAAGAAAGCTGCAAACCTGCACACCGGAATCATGCGTGTGATGCACACATCGGGGTTTTCTCACCAATCGGAGTCATCGCACCGTGGGCAATAGAACACCAAGAGCGACATGAATATGTTCGATGTCCTCATCGGTATGGGGTGCTTTGCACGGGGGTGCCTGTATCCAGCCCGGTCGCACCATTAACGTAGCTGGGGTGCAGTTTCCGGCGTGACACCTATCTGAGATGCCACACGGGAGTGCGCTCGAAACGCTGGAACGAAGTTGATTATTTGTATCTCCGCACCGGTAACGTACGGGGGTGTTGCACCCATGCGACGAAGGTCATAATAGTTAGACGAAAATGCGATTGGACCCCGGCGACAGCATGCATTTGGACTTGCCCGCAGCAGGCCCCACTGCCCTTTTTCTGCGGGTGCCTGTGCGTGCTGTGGTTGAATGTGCATCGTGTGTGTGCATCGGGTATTTGCGTCGTTGTTGAAAGTGATGCCACACGTGCGGCGTTCGCTCGTTAGTTTCTTATATCCCGATCAAGTCACCTGCAAATATTCTCCCACCATCGAGCAGCGGAGCTATAATAGTGCTGGTCTGCCCAGGCGTAAGAATGAATACAATGCTTTCTACGGGAGCGTTGTCTGGGGGGGGGCATGCGGGCCGACTCCACGGTTTGGGCAGTCAGTGAATGCCACGAGGGGGCTCGCTGTCCTTGAGATACATGAGAGTTCAAGAAACCACTCTCTCCTTTTGTTCCCGGAGCTGCCAGCCGAGCGCACGCTCCGATCAGGAACCTGTACTCAAATCGTCGCCACAAGCAGCACATACATGTATTGAATTCCCCCCCCCCTTCCCTCCTTCGTGCCGATTCCCAGGTGGAAGCTCTAAGGAGCAGTTCGTGTCCCCACTGGTGTTGCCGAAGCTTCCCTCACGAGTGTATGTCAGATTCGGTGAGGCTATCACCCTTGAAGGCCTGGACAAGAGCGATAAGAAAGCTTGCCAAGGGGCTTATGAGACTGTCAAGGTAAATGCCATGGGTACAGTTTTTTTTTTCTCTGGGTTTGCTGCCGCGCGCTTGGGTGACTCCACTCTCTCCCACCGACCTTCTTCGATCACTTCTTGTCCCTTGTAAAGCTAGTTGGGTACCCACGGTGTGGGAGCTCAACCTTCAACGAATTCCTGCTCAGGGGATGAGATCGAAATGCACGACTTTGGGGCCCAAGCTCACGCAACCCTTGCACCCTTCTTACCTTCCAGGACGAGGTGGAGCTAGGCATCCAGTCATTGCTGAGAGCACGAGAGCAAGACCCTTACCTTGACCCGACAACACGCTTGCTCTACGAGCGGGTGAAAGGGGAGGCCGCCCCTACGTTTCCTGCCTCAGTTCTCGATGCCGCGGTATTGAGAACAAGGCTTGCTCGGGAAGGGAAACGACGAAGGCAGAGGCAAAGAAGTGTTACACCGGTCAGGACGGAGAAGCCTGTGGAGTCGACAATTGGGGTGGGTACCGCCGCGGCTGACAAGTTGGCGGACAATGTAACCGCTGTGGTCCCTGAACCAACGGAGTAGAGGTATTGAAGACTACAGGCATCAATTTCGTATGCAGCCGGCAGGAGAAAAACGCAGCGATCGAACGGATTGCGATTGAATTACGTAGCAAGGGGGAGGAATGGGATTGGCGGCATGAATGTTGACACGGTAAATGCTGAGTGGTACGAGCAAGGGAAAGTGGAGTTGTTATAAGCATGGGTACAGGTAGTCATGGAGGTGGGAGGACAGTGGGTGTGGAATGGCATTCTGTAGCGGTATTGATGGTCATATTATGCAAACTGTACAGGAAGGAGCGTTGTGGGGCCTCGAAAACCAACAGAATCTCGCGAACAGGAACGAAACGTGGAACGTTATACAGTATAACCATCTGCATGTAGGCGAGTGTTCTTCGCCAATTGATCACTGCTGTAGACCTCTGTCTGTGTGAGCTTCTGGCTACGGAGAGTCCGCTTGGGTTGGTGCGAAAACCTTGTTGGGGCAAATTTCATTTGCAGTACTAGACCCTTTCGGATTTTTTTTTTGAGTCTGTTTGTGTACCCCCATGACCACCCACGGAGGTTGCCGTGCCCACCTACGGAGGATACCGTGCCCACCCACGGTCTGGGGACTAAGTTAACCCAGAGGACCGATGTATATGATATATAACCGTGATAAACACACACGTGCTCTTCCAGCACGACATACACAGTATCTCTCGCAGACACAGTGAAAACATGGGCGGGCTCTCGCGAGGGGCCCCACACTTGGAACTCCCAGCAGTATACCCCCCACACACATATTCTCTGCAGATCGGATCTTGTATGCAAGCACCCCAAACAGCCCCCCGCCTTGATGCAATATACGATCTAGATGTTTGTGGATAATCTTCCAACCGATCTGACCCGGAAACAGACCGCCGGTCGGTTGCCTTGTTGGCGAAGTCCGAATCGACAAAAAGTTCCATGTGGTCTCCTCCCACCGTGCCCCCCTCTGAAAAGTAACCCCGTACCCGCTCGTGAATCTAACATGCATCAAAACATGCACAACTTAGGGTTATCTAGGGGTCATCCCACATTCCCAGGGCTCGCCGGGGGTGCCCAGGGGGTCTCCCTGGGGTTCAACATTTCCACCCAGGGATCGAAAGATAGAGTCGCATTCGTTGTCACGCGTGTTGGAACCCTTGCTGGCAAGGCGTAACATCATCAATTCTCACCTAAATTACTCATTTTCAACACTTGCTTGATCACTGGTTCACGCGGCATTTGCATTTCTAATCCCCGGGGATTTAGACTTGTCCACCACCAAGGACAGGCCTTAGTAGCAGCAATATCGCAAAGTGTCTTTTGGGGCGAACCAGAAGCTGCTTCAATCAGAAAAGTAGCCGCAGGAAGGGTGTCTCGATGTTGATTTCGGAACTAGACCGTTGCCCCTCTCCCCACAGCAGCAGCTGTCCCGACGTTCAAAATTCCAATAATATTCTTGCATTACGTTCCAGGTCTGAGGTCGCTGATTCGCTTCGGTTGGTCTCAAGTGTGTCCAGGGGTGGTTGTCCCACTAACTGCTACCAGCAGGGGGGATGAAGAAAATAACAAATGCAACATATTCCCGCAGGGGAAGATCTTCTTCGTATTGTGTCATGACTTGAATATGCCGAGGATAGGATACCATCACCACCAGTACATACGTATTATGTTCCTTGAACGTCCTCTGCAAACCCAATATGTGTAACTTGGTGTCGCCGTACTAGTACAACAAAGTGTATGGTATAGTTACAGACAAGGCAAAAGACGTCAGCGCTGGAGAACGAAAGATTAAACATGTACAGAAGCATCCAATGGTTAGCTCCAAGTTCTTATGAGGTTGACTCAAATTCTCCCATAAGCTTTGTGTTTTTTTAGGTCACAACCCCACAATATTTCTGAGACCGAGTTCTTATCGCGTGCTCCGCCGCAAGACTAGCTCAAGTTGTATGTATGCTGAAAGGACAAAGGATTCAGGAGAGCAACGAGTTCCAGCATAGTCTTAGGGTTAGGGCCCCCTTTTGGTCACGTGTCACAGAAAACAGGGTTGGAGATTTAAAACAGGATCTAAGATTGAAACGCTGTTTTCACGGTGTATGCCTTGGCTTACGGCCCCCTTTTTGTCACATGTCACAGAAAACAGGGTTGGAGATTGAAAACAGCATCTCAGATTGAAACGCTGTTTTGACGGTGTATGCCTTGGCTTGGGGCCCCCTTTTTGTAACATGTCACAGAAAACAGGGTTGGAGATTGAAAACAGGATCTTAGTTTGAAACGCTGTTTCGACGGTGTATGCCTTGGCTTAGGGCCCCCTTTTGGTCACGTGTCACAGAAAACAGGGTTGGAGATTGAAAACAGGATCTAAGATTGAAACGCTGTTTTCACGGTGTATGCCTTGGCTTAGGGCCCCCTTTTTGTCACATGTCACCGAAAACAGGGTTGGAGATTTAAAACAGGATCTCAGTTTGAAACGCTGTTTCGACGGTGTATGCCTTGGCTTAGGGCCCCCTTTTGGTCACGTGTCACAGAAAACAGGGTTGGAGATTGAAAACAGGATCTAAGATTGAAACGCTGTTTTCACGGTGTATGCCTTGGCTTAGGGCCCCCTTTTTGTCACATGTCACAGAAAACAGGGTTGGAGATTGAAAACAGGATCTCAGATTGAAACACTGTCGTCGCGGTGTATGCCTTGGCTTAGGGCCCCCTTTTGGTCACGTTTCACAGAAAACAGGGTTGGAGATTCACAACAGGATCTAAGATTGAAACGCTGTTTTCACGGTGTATGCCTTGGCTTAGGGCCCCCTTTTTGTCAAATGTCACAGAAAACAGGGTTGGAGATTGAAAACAGGATCTCAGATTGAAACGCTGTTTTCACGGTGTATGCCTGGGGTTAGGGCTAGGGTTAGGGTTAGGGTTAGGGCCCCCTTTTGGTCACGTGTCACAGAAAACAGGGTTGGAGATTTAAAACAGGATCTCAGATTGAAACGCTGTTTTCACGGTGTATGCCTTGGCTTAGGGCCCCCTTTTTGTCACATGTCACAGAAAACAGGGTTGGAGATTGAAAACAGGATCTCAGATTGAATCGCTGTTTTGACGGTGTATAGGGTTAGGGTTAGGGCCCCCATTTTGTCACGTGTCACAGAAAACAGGGTTGGAGATTGAAAACAGGGTTGGAAATTGAATCCTTGTTTTCACAGTGTATGTCTTGGCTTAGGGCCCCCATTTCGTCACGTGTCACAGAGAACAGGGTTGGAGATTGAAAACAGGGTTGGAGATTGAATCCCTGTTGTCACTGTGTTTGCCTGGGGTTAGGGCCCCCATTTTGTCACGTGTCACAGAAAACAGGGTTAGGGTTAGGGTTAGGGTTAGGGACCCCATTTTGTCACGTGTCACGGAAAACCGGATTGGAGGCTCAAAAACATGATTTCGGATTAAAACACTGTTGTCACCGTGCATGTCTTGGGTTAGGGCCCCCATTTTGTCACGTGTCACAGAAAACAGGATTGGAGACTCAAAACAGGAATACTTAGGGTTAGGGTTAGGGTTTGGGTTAGGGCCCCCATTTTGTCACGTGTCACAGAAAACAGGATTGGAGACTCAAAACAGGATTTCAGATTAATACACTGTTGTCACCGTGCATGTCTTGGCTTCGGGCCCCCATTTTGTCACGTGTTAGGGCCCCCATTTTGTCACGTGTCACAGAAAACAGGATTGGTGACTAAAATCAGGATTACAGATTAATACACTGTTGTCACCGTGAATCTTGGCTTAGGGTCCCCCATTTTGTCACGTATCACAGAAAACAAGATTGGAGACTCATAACAGGATCTAAGATTGAAGCACTGTTGTCACCGTGCATGTCTTGTGTTATGGCATAGGGTTAGGGTTAGGATTCGGCTTAT